GACGCTGCAGGAAGTGCTGAGGTTAGCAGGAGCGCTACAACCTCCGACAGTTTACAGCGTCACCCGGATCCGCTCCCTACGGCTAATTTATTCAACGTATAACAGAACTCTTTATGAATTAGTTTTTCGATGATCTTTTATATTTTTATTGTACTGACACATTTTTAGATCTTTCTCCAAAACGTTTATGTTGGGCCTCTCGTCTCTCAACACCATTTCTTCCACATCCTCTTTATGTCTGCAGAGTATTTTAGATCAAATTCATTTAAACTTGTTTTTAAAGTTCATCCCATCAAACCTAACAAACAAACAAACAAACAAACATTAGGTGAGAAACTTTACGCCTGAGTCACAATTTAACATGAGTTCAGCACAAGAATAAAACAGCTAAAGCTTTGTTTTGTTTTTTTAAACGGACAGAAGCAGAGACAAACATGCAGATTAGTGTGGAGGTTCTGATGTATTGGGTCATGTGCAGCAATCTAGATGTCAACAGCTAAATTCACGATAAAATTAAATTATAAAAAACATTTACTGTTATGTTTTTCCCATGCTGAACTATAAAGAGAAACCTCAAAGTCATAAAAGGTATCTAAAAAAGTATCTCCTCAGAAAAATTTTTTCTAAAAATAAACTAAAACCCAGGAGTGTTTTTTTTGTTTTAATAATTTAACCCAAACTTAAATCAAAATGAAAACTGAACGGAATAAAATCTCCTAATTCAAAAATAATAAACCAATAAAATGTGAAACGATCTTCTCGGTGGACTGAGTGTTGATGGGAGAAGTCGAGGCTTGAATAAATGTACAGCTCTCCACAGTACATTTAATGTGCGGCTTATGTGATACGACTGCTTGCCATACCTGCACCTTCACCCTGACTGCAGCTGATTTGAATCAAACAGGAAGGTCTTTGCTTCAACGTGATAATCTGAAACAACCTCTGCTTCTTTCCTGCCGTGTCTGCAAGGTTAAATAATGTTCAGGAGCTGTGATAACCTGTGACTGACCTGATCCTCATCAGTAAACTGGACCGGTCCGAACGTCAGTACAAAACTGTCACGGTACAAATACACGTACCATTACACCCCTAAAAATCATTGATTATGTCCAATAAACCTCACAGCCACTAATCACCAGGGATTCTATAATTAATGTTGCCTGAGATATTTTATTCAGATATTTATATCTTTTATCTGTTTTATTTAAGGCGCCATCTAGGCCTGTCGTGATAAAAATATATATATCTATTAATCATGATAAATGAAAATTATCAACCTCATTTTCATTTATCAGCTTTATCGTTTCTTCATGTCTCTCTCTTTCTACTGAAGACACTGGATGACAAAAAGCTCAACTCCAGTTCTTCACTGACTCCTCCCTCTCTCTTGTCTCTTTAAAATCTGTTTTAACTGTCAAAAATCACGTTTTTGGATCGTTAAAAGCAGCTAAGCTGAGAAGCTAAGCTACGAGCTAACAGGCCGACCTCAGGGAAAAAACCTCCGTCTTGTTGAAGCCTTAAAATTCACGGTTGAAACCCGTGTCTTCGTGTAAAAAGTTGTTTTTCTCTGCAAAAAGAAGCTGAGAACTTGTTTACTGATTTTTTATTAAAAGCTTTGTGTGAAAAATGCTAAAGAGCTCAAACCACACCGAGCGTCCGCCATTTTGAGAACAGAAGAGAGACAGCCCATGTCACGTCAAGGAGCCTCCCTCCCATTGTTCTTAAAGAGACACGCTGCTCGCTCCCTCACTATCCATCCTTCGGTTCAAACAGTCTTATACTGCCGTCCAGTGGTCAAAAAAGGCACTACACACAAAAATTAACAAACATTTCTTCTTAAATTTGACAGTAATTACTAATTCTTGTCAAATTTCAAACAATATTATCGTTTATCGCAATAATTTCTGAGACAATTATTCACCCAGCAACATTTGCCATCGTGACAGGTCTAGCGCCATCATTTAGATGTAAAAGGTGTGTACTGCAACGTGCACAGGTAAAGAGGTGAGAAGGACCGTGGCTGCATGCTCGTCCACCGAGGGTCCAGGCAGACAAATAAAGTTATGTCAAACAGAGACTGGATGCTGAAAACATTAATAAGTGTTTGTCTTTATATAAAAATGTGTCACGTAAACCATTTGTTTTAATAACTGTACAAAATAAAGTTAAATTACGATGTAAAACAAGCGGTGCACTGATGTCCCCGTTAAACAGTGAATGTTTGTAGTTTTACAGATGAGTGTTTTTCTGGACTGGGACTGAACGGGGAATGAAGTAAACCTAAATGTTTTTGGTGGAAGATCTATAAGGGAGGTTTTTGTTTTTTCTTGTCCGAGGCAGCACAGAGTGACGAATCCTGGAGAGAGGAGGGAGACATTTATCCACCACCAGGAGCAGTGGAGGAGCCAGGGGGTGGCCATCGGTGGCCATGGCCCCCATAGGTTCATTTGAAGAAACTATAATTGTAAGAAATCTACAAACTAGAAAGAATAGTTTCCTCGTGATCACCCGCTGCATCAATTCTCGTGTTCTTAATGAAATTTATTTCTGAAGGTATTTCTAATTCCCCCTTTTTTCTCCACGACGAGGGACAAACAATGAGTGTGAGAGAAATCTAAAAATGTTTTTGTTACGGAGGGTGAATCTGCGCTTTAAATAAAAATAGTTTTCTTTTTACCTCATTGGAAAAAGACAGTAATGAAGGCTGACGGAGGAAATTCATTGAGGTTGTTATTAAAGCAGCAGAGCAGAATCAGATTATTAATCTGAGGAAGTCTTCAGCTTTTAACGGTTAAACCAGAGTTACAGAAAGTTAAAATAAAAATATATAAAACTGGAACGGTCACATTTAACAGTACTGACAAGATGACTTGTGTTTGCTGCAATTGGCCGCCCATCATCACGATGGAGAAGCATCAATAAGTTCACGCTCTCAGAAACAAGGAGCGGGTCAGAATCCTGGACTCAGACGGTGGTTTTACCAGCGTGGGTTTGAGTCTGGCTCCGTGTCAACTCCTCCCGTCCCCCACATCATTGACTAAACCGTGTAACTGAGCCAGGATTGCATTACCAATGAAAAGCAGACGCCACGAATAACCTCCTCCCACCGACGCGCTCACACCCTTCACAGCCGTGTCCATGACTGCACTCGGGGCTCCGCCGGGCTCATCTCCAGCTCATCAGAACCGAGCGCGACTACCCCGAGGCTGGGAGCGGGCCGACGCGCAAGAGAGGCACATTTAGTGCGTCGTCAGTTCACACCCGCAAACTGATAAAACTGCCTTTAGAGAAGAGTTCACCCTGCACAGCTCAAACACTCAGCGAGATCAAACTGATCCAAACGAACTCGGCAGAGTTCGTCACGAGTCGCAGCTCAGCAGGAAAATCAAACTTCAACACAAATTAGAAAAAAACATTAATTAAAAAATAAAATCAGCAAGCAAACCTTTCATGCTACTAGCTCAACGTCTACACGTTTAACAGAGGTATAGCTGTTTTTGTGCTGCTAAGGTGGATGTCTCTTTGTGAAAGTCACAGCGTATTTTGAAATCTTTCAGGTAAACATGACGACATTCTTCCAAAGTCAAGGCAGCCTCCACGTTTACCAACATTTAGTTTGACAAACACAAAAATCAGCAACACAAAGTGTGATTACTACGAACTAGTCTAATGGAAATGACAAAACTCAACCTGTTCGTGCACCTGCTGGGTCTCCCTGCCGTGTTTTATTGACTGAAAATGTCGGTCTGATTACACAAAGTTGCACAAAACTGTTTGTAAATTCACAATAAGAGGAAAAATATCTGAGTTTTTTGGGGGATAAAATATAAAACTCTCCATCTACATCTTCTCCTACGTAACAGTGGTCAGATCGACACTCAGTCTAATTAAGACGACACTGGAGACTTTCCTTTTTGATAATTTCTATAGTTAGGGCTGCCTTGGGTTTCCTGAGCTGTCCCTTAGTTCTGCTCCTATAGGCTCAGACTGCTGGAGGACAATCTGAGCTCAGGTCCTCTCTCTGCTGCGTCTTTACCTGCTCTACTCTCCACGGTTGTTTTTGTAAATATTTCTAATATCAACGTGTTTTTCTGTCTTTCTCCACATAGGAACCACACCTGGACCATAGGAACCACACCTGGACCATAGGA